GTTCGTAGAAAAAAATTACCTATTTTTGAACTTCTGCGTGCCACCATAACGAGATTCTCATGCTTGACTCTAGAAAATATGATTCGGATTCGGGTGTAATCAGGACGGAAAATGGTTTACACTGCAAGACACTTGACGTCAGAAACTCAAACGTAAATGTGAACGTATTACAACCATTAGGTAGAAATGTACTTGAATTTGGATTCGGCCAAAAAATAAAATGGCCACTATTGTCCGGCGCAGCCGACTTTTTATTCTTGATGCTAAATAAGGGTGCAGCATCAGGATGTGGCACCCGATGTAGTTTATTGTTTTTTTTCGCTGCCCACAGGCATCAAAAATACTTCATTTCATACCAGGGGTTCAGTCACTTGAACTGCCCAAATATATATTTTCATGTGATGTGCATGATACTAGTAGTGTGCTAAAGTCAAACGCTGCAGTGAACCACATATTTCAATTAAACTCTGCAATAATTCGATGATATCCGTTTACCTCCTGTCAGATAGTCTGACTTTGTAGGTCTATGCCCGGCATAAGTTCACCAGACGGTCGCCATAAATCTGACATTCTATCCATAATGGTCCCATTTGTAAGGAATTGCCGTGTGATTTACACTAGTTCCGACCAGTTTTTAGTGAGATTACAAAAAACATATTCTGATTACTTAATTAGGAACTTGTGAATACTTTTGCTGTGTACCGAATAACTACATGCTTCCCAAAGAACTGATCATCTTGGGTACTGAAAATTCCCACTAAAATCGGCAATAATGGGTAGTTTACTTGTGCGTTTAATAGCAGATGTCCCTTTGCCATCATGGAAGAAATATTCATGACCACATGCCACCATCTATATCCTGCAAGCAACATTGTAATATTTTTTGCACACTTCGGACCCTTTGTGATCCAAACCCACAACATAAAAAGTTCACATCTAAACAGATTGACAACCCAAATTTCTGAATATTCGTAGACTCGCACATCTAGGCAACCCGATTGCCAAAGTCCTGAATGTACACAACCCAAGTTTCAGTCCTTTGGATCGTTAAAGATATCCGGTTGTTATTTTAGTGAGTAAAACTACACCGTTTCCATGAACAACAAAGCTTCTTATAATCAACAGCATGGGTCCAAATCGCACAACAAAATAAGCGAGATTCTGGCGTATTTTCCACTTAAATCGCATTCTGTGGAACCCATCTAATTGCTTCCATACAGTGCAAATTTTATGCGGTAGTGCGGTGTTTATACCAGTTTTCACTAGAGACGTCTTACTCTCTGATGTGAGGTGCGCATTTTTTGTGCGCACCCCATTTTGCTGTCTTACCTCGTATATAACATTCACGTGCCATTTCGGTGCACTAAAGAATAACTAATACACGCTCATGCGAGCACGTCTCAAATTACTATTTTGATTGACTTACAGTAAGAGAATTCAGACCAAAATACGTGATTAATCAATTCTTAAATACATTCTATCCTGCGGTCAGGGAAGTGGTCAAAATGGTGTGCTCAGGTGTTCACTCTAGGGTGATAAACCAACATTCTTATCATGCGAAGAGACCATGCTGCCTAATCAATACCAAAAGCAGAAAAAGAACTTAATACAAGTCATCCGCATGCCTCGATCTCAAGAAGCGGTACTGACTAGCTCAGGATACGTTAGTCTATCTCCATATCCTATCACAATTTGCTCCCTCTTGTGATGTTATCAATAATGCGAGTGGAATTTAAATAGTAAATTGTCGGCCTCCAGCAATTCGCCTCGCTCGGTTATTGTGCAGATAGATAAAAGGGCCTCATAGGTTAAATACGACTTCACATTTGCACTGACTTGTGTACTGTTTTCCCAGGATATGACCAACTACTAAAGTAACCTATGAAGACCACAAATATTTCTAGGCAGTGAATTTTTTCGCGCAAGCGTCCTGTAATTGCGTGTGAGTCATACGTCATTTCTAATTGAAAACCTCACGGTTTACGGCTCGGAACTGACCATGCAAGTATCGAACTATCTTATCATAGATTTAGAGCACACGGTTTTCAATCACTAGGTTTTTAGTAAATTTATCCCCTGAAATAATATTTTTTCTGCTTTAGAAAACGAAACAGTGCGTAGAGGGAAATTAGCTATTTGTAAAATCATTACTCAACAATTCTCAGTCCACTTTTGTTTAATAGCCCGTAAAGCACCAAGAAAATACTCTTGAGAGCCAGACTAGTTTGCTTGGTCCATGTATTTCGGTAAGTAGATAGCCTTTATGAAGATGATCTGTTGACTCAGTAGTGTCTCAAAATTAAACTTAAGTTGCATATAGGTGAGAGATTTTTTATGAGAACTTGAAATAGCAAGAGAGTGAATGACGGTTAAACACAAGCAAAAAGCTGTTCTCTGAAAATGCGGAAGCATTGGCTGAGATCTCACGTCAAGTCCTAGAAACGCATGTTGCCTTTTACCTGAGGGTATTACGCAGGTAATATATTTGATTGTGCTTCAAAGTCAGCAGGCGATACACACGAGCAAAGACGTGAAATAGGCAATTGATTGTGCAACGACATTTTGTTGCTTCAAGGTTGGTGAAAGTTATGAAACACATTCAGACGTGAATGAGTACGTGCCACAGATAATTTAAAAAATGTACAGTGCAAGTTCAAACGTTTAGTAAAAATAAATCAGTACGCTTGGCCCAGTCTTTTGTGCTCGGATATTCATTTCAACCCGGGGCTCGGAGGCACTGTAAATAAGAAAATAGTAAATAATGTTTCAAATGATTAGGGCATAAACACTTTGAAATTTCCTTTCTTGGAATAAATTGTTTTGAATGCGGATAGGATACCACCAAAGTCCTGTGATCAGAGTTCAGGCCGGAAACTGACATTAGTTATGCAAAACAAAACCAACTCATAGGATTAATAAAAATATCAAGCAGGCAAGAAACTAATAACAAAAATTTGCCCTCCTCTCCTCTGAATGCCTTTATCAGCTGTAGTCTAATGGACACACTTGTCACTTTGGGCTAGGAGTTGACTTGCTGTCGCACTGGCTGATAAAATAACTCTTCAGGTTAGGCTGCCCAGATGGTAGGCCAATCCACCTATTGGGCTTCACAATGACTGGACGGAATACAGAATTTTCAAAAACCTTTACGTCGCTAACCTGCGAAGTCTGCATTAAACCTTACATTCCAAATATAATTTCCTAAACTGGAAACCTGACTACCTGGCTGATATTATACACGCCGCATTTCTGGGGAAAAATTAAACTATTAGTATGCTATAGACATATGTTGAGAAAAATATTGAAAACTTATTAAAGCTTACATCGTTTCGGTTGCGTCAAACCTGTCAGGCTTCTTTTCCTTTTGCTACTGGACAGACAGATGGATGCTGAAGCTGACAGTTCTCCTCCTTGAAAGTACGTAAATGAAAAATGTACTCAAAAGTGATATTTTTATCGAAATTCGAATATAAATTAAGCCTATAATCATTCCTTTGGATCACTGTGGCCCAGTGAGCAAGTAAATTTGGCAAGCATAGCACACATACCCTTGCCCAACATTTACGATCCAAACGACATCAAGACCAATAATCCTGCCGTGAAGCGCACGTCTTGAAGTTAGGCATAACTACTTTGAAGGTGTATTAGTCTGCGGCACTCTGGTGTATTTGGTCGCGTTGTATTGCGGAATTCGAAGATTTACGGTGAAATTTCAGGACACCGGGCTGACGTTTCCGTGATAGCTGGTGGCCATGTTCATGATTTATTGTCTAGCCAGGCTGACAAGGCTGAAAGTATCTCTGCAACTAGGCCCCCAGTAATACCATCTCAAATATACGTCATCACCAAACATGCGCACTAGAACCACAGTCAATTCATTAGGAGTTCTCTTGGATTTTCTCTCCATATTTGCGCGTCCAGTGTTTTGACTGGTAGACCATCTTTTTAACATATTTAGTCTCATTACATTCCATTTGCCTGCCGAACAGTTAAAATTCATGCTACTTAATTACGCTTCTACATCTCAAGTCTTATTACTATCTATAAGGAAAAAAATGTCTAAAGAGATTTCGCTTCTAGACCTGAACGATTGACTTTATTGTGGCCTGTAGGCATTTATTACAAGAAACGCACCTTACGTTCACTGAAGCCCCAGAGCAATAACTCAAGATATGTACACAACGTAAGCGTCTTATCAAAGTGCGTGCACATGCGGGAAGGTTAAATGCATCCATTTTAACAACGCAAACGTTGATTAGGCAGCTTCTCAACTCCCGAACCATAACGTTTTTTCCTTATTTTATTAACATTGAAACCAGTGCTTTCGGAAGGTGGAGATTATGCCATGGATCGAGCACACAAGACACAAACTGCAGGATATTTGTATACAGGTTAGTGGTTGCACCATATTGCCACTTTTATCTGTGTGATTGTCGAAGAAGTAACTAATGAGGTCAAATCATTTTGGTTTACGTTCATAACACAATAATATTTGACTATAAATATTATGATTTTGTCTGGAGTCTCCGTTCAAAAATACGAAACACCTGTACAGCACTTATATTTCAGATGCGCCTTCCGTCTGAGAGTTTATGTAGGGGTAAACATTGTGCTTTCTCCTTTAGAGATATCCTCGTTGATTTTGGGTCCTATCAAGCATAGGCGCATGCGTCATTATGCCAAGCTAACGCGGGAGCATCCCATAAACAACAGAGTAATGCAAAATAGGTAACGGAGTGTTATCACACAAACAGCACGCCCAAGCAAACTGTATTTCGTCGGGTGATTATTATGAGAATATTGATGAAAGTAACAGCGTGATGCTCATCCTAGTCATCAACTGTGAATTTATCACCTGAAATCTATATCTGTCTATATCTCACCTGATTGTCCCCTTCCTCAATGTAGCAATGAATATAAATGATAAAGTTTAAGGTTGCCTGCAGAACATAACTAGCAACCGGACTGTCGCAAATGTCAGGGCACAATGAATGACTCACCGAGCATACCTTGGGGCACGGAGGACAGTTGATAGACCCCCTTAGATTTCCAATTTTCCCGTGGTTTACCTCTACCATGATAGGTCCTCCTTCAAGTGGGCAGTAAACAAATTTGTTTCCAAAATGGATACGAAGCCCGAACATTGGCTCGCAGACATGCTGCAAGGAAACATTTACGTTTATTAGTTCCAAACTGTCTCTGCTTAAAATTCTGCTGAATGAAAACCACAACCACTACCAGAAGTGAAACGTTAGCAGATTGTCGCAGCTTCCACCTTTTAGAGTAACTTGAAATCAAATGAGTTGACGTTAAGTGTCATTTTGGCTGCCCATGAGGTGGAACACTCATTTACGAGCGCACTTCCACTACGAAATGTCCAATTTTCATTTCAGGCTATAAACGTCCTCGAGTTTGATCGAAAATTTCTTAGGAAACTAAATTTCATTAGGTTCTGTATTGCCTTCAGTCGTGTTGCGTCCTGGTAATAACATAATGTGTCTAAATACAAGTTAAATAAACAGCATGTATACTGGGAGATTTCAAAGAATGCATAAGTGTTGCGTTTGGTGTTACTGAGGCCATTTCATGGTGGTCCTCCACAATCCCCTCACGGATACTAGCACATAAATTAGCCAGCTTTTGGATTCGCAATAGTCCCTTAACAACACATTTTACGATATTGTAGTTGACTGTACTGACTGTCCATGCTACTTCAGTGAAGATTGTCCCTCTAGATAAGTCGACCAACGGTCCCGATCTTAACCAGCAAATGCGTCACTGTCAGCAGAAAAAGCTTGGAACGTTATTGAATTCATCGAAACAGACAGAACACAACTGACACCCACATTGCTTTTATTTCTCTAAACATATTCAAAATTAACTGATCAATCATCGTTACGTTTGTAGTTTGTGAAAAGTTTGTGTGATATCGAAAAAGATTATTGGGCACGTTTGTCGTTCCTATAACGTTTCAAAATCCCCCGTAAAAAGGATTTGCTATGCCTACCAGAAGGGTCATAATTAAGTATTCAGTAAGAGGAAAAACGTTTAAGAGGTACCTCTATGTGCATAGCAATGTTCAGTGGATGAGAAATCATTTCAATCTCAAGAATAATTGTTCATGTCATGATTGTAACAGAACAGCCAACTTTTACAATACGCTTGCCTAAAATACAGCAAGGTTCCTTTCAAAGTGGATTTGAGCGAACAATTTTGACTTTATAGTGGAATTTTTCTTACACTTTATGGGATTTATGTCAACATATCCTTTGGCGACGTGATTAAACTGACCACTGGAAACTAAGGCATTCATCGTTTAGCAAGTTCTGTCTTGCTTACTCCATCAAGGTACTTTGTTGTCCGTGAAAAACTTGCAGCGTGGACTTTAGGGACTTTCATTGAGTTGGCATTGAACTGAAAACCTGTAGTAGCCAAAGATATTGCTAGAAAATTTATTTCCGAGATATTCATTTAAAATGTATAGTAACCCAAGAATTAAAAGTCCGCTGATGCAATTTCTTTACTCAACCTTTAATTGTGAAAGACGTGTACATGGTTACTCAGGGGTAAACTCACCCTGGCTTTTGCTATTAACCTTATTGTCAATGGATACCGCCAGAAATTGGCTGATACATTGATGTTTTGGTAGAATGATGAATAAATAACGCCAATGTGTCATTGTCCACACCCTAATGCGTAGACAGTGAGTAACGTGTGCTGGTAATGGCCTCAGTTAGAGTTTTCACCGGTGTATTTAGCGCCAGCAACGGAGTTCCCAAATCTTCAAAGTTTTGCACAGATTCGTTCCCAAGCCTCGCTATGGGTCATTTTGTGCAGTAATTTACATGTCTTTTAGCTCAGCGGATAACTGAAAATCCCCCACATCAAGTCGGTACTCAATAAGTTTACTCGAAATAAATAATCCCAAAATAATCTTGCTTTCATTCATTCTACAGCAGTATGTCAAGCTTATCAGACGCTCAGCGTTACTTACGTAGTGGCAAGATGCACCGTACAGGTCCAGTGATATAGACTCCACCCCTTTAGAGAAAATTAACGGGGCCTGCCGATTGTGGTCCACACAAATAGAGGAACTGCCAAAGTATTCAAGTGCATAATTTTCTTGTGGATCTGTGATAAGGACAACAACAATGATGTATTTAAATTGGGTCCTCAACAAACAGCAAACTTGAACGCTGTGTGGACGTCAACTTTTGACATTTGACATCCATTTCTTCCAGGTTCGCTTCAATGTTCCTGGTCGTTTTAGCAAAAGGCACTATTTAGTTCGCCTTTTAAAATTAATACCAAGTGGTTTGATTTTGATTTTCTGAATCACTTAGCCTCTTCAAAGTATGAATTAAATTGCATTGAATTTTCAAATCCACATATATTTGAGTTCACATATATGGTATGCATATTACATGTATGATATTACATATTAAATTGTACATACTTATTACAATTATATATATAGATATATACATTCGATATATTTTGAGTCACGAGCGCGTTAGCATTCACTAAGATTATCAATCAATTTTCAAAGTTTTGACACAAGCGTTAACAATCAATGGACTGGAATCAGATATACTTTGAGTCTTCACTGAAAATTAGATAAAATTGCTTCGCGGGCATCCGGAAACAGCCTTGGCTATTGTATAGTTTGAATGGTATATTGTTATGGGTTTGGGGGGCTCAACAAACCAAAAGCTAAGGAGGAAAATAATCCAGTGAGATACTACTACATTTTCGTCTTATTTTTGTTATTCCAACTAGCCAGCGAGACAATTAGTCGTAGAAATGTTAGATTTTGACGGAAATTTTTAATACGTAGCTGATAAGCAACCTCCGTTTGTCCGTAGACAGCATTGTATCTGTGCTGGTGAGATGCTTCCGAATTGCCAGCTTAGGTTGCAAATGCCGCAGATTTTATGAGCCAAAATTCTTGTTAAAGAAGTTAGATAATTTAGATAACCTGATGTATTGGAGAAATCGAATTTCTGCTTCATATCGAAACCATGATTGTCTTCTTGAGATTTTGTGTTTTATAATTGTGTCGTGGTTGATCCAGCTGGGGCAACATGAGGCCTCCAGTTATATAGCCTAATAACTATTGACTTATTGTCACTAATTACATCGCACTAAGTTGGATCGGACGACAAAAAAATTCAGCCTAGCAGCTTGAGCAATTCAACACAAAAACCACCAATTTCATTTCGTCAAAGAACCTTTATTTTGCTTGGCGTTATACTGATATTGTATTGCTTCACTCAAAATGTGCTATTTTGAAGAACCTGACATGACTGAGTTTTAATGCGAACAGTACATCAACTTTTTTAGGTTAGGCGCCCATAATTTAATTATTTACAACTTCTATAATAGGAAGAATTTAACCCAGCGACTTCAAAGAAACCTTCGTAATTATCCTGACGGGATTTTGTGGTATACGGGCGAGTTCGACTTGACTATTTCACTGTGCGTTTTTTCCGGAATTGGAATCATTTAGTGAATAAATTATAATTTAACTACTTGCTGTAAGGGTCCGAAGTTTGAATGCTCTCGATGGAGTTTTAAGACATTCGTTCTTTCTAGGAGACCTGTTCGGTTGGAAATACCGCAACTTCAAGCTTGCTCCTAAGAAGGAAACAGTTTTTGCGTTAAGTAGGATTTAACCAAATCGGTTGGATAACATTATTTTTACCAACAGTTAACATAGTTTTAAAAACCTCTTTATCTCGTCACTACTACCAAAAGGATTCACGAATTCCATTATATAAAAAGTAACTTACGTTGCTTTGTGTGTAGCTTGCATTGGTCACTCAACCTGTTTGCCAGTCGTATATCTGGCGAACGCTACAATATACAGTGTACAGATTGCTTGGTTATTTGAACACTGGAAAAATTAGACGGAAGTTGATTCAGTTTTCATTCAATAGAGTGGAGGGCTAAAATGCAACGGGCTGTATGCTTGGAGAAACTTCAGTGATCGTTGTTTTCTTTAATTTTAATTCACCCCATCACAACCGTAGCTGCTCTTGAATCCCTGCATTTTGCCGTGAAACTAACTACCATTCAGGCTCATATGCCAGGGCCATTGCTCTTCAAGTGTTTTATCAAGAAAACCTACAAATATTTCTCCACTAATATAAGTTTCCTTGAGGGTGCACCAAACGGGACACACGTGTATGAAAATTGTACTGACTATCTACTCTCACGCATAAAATGTGGTTTGTTGATTCTTCGGAAAAATTTGACAAGACAAAATTATAGCTGTGTTTAGCACTAGATGACACTCACACACACTAGTATAGGCTTGAGGCTTCTTCGAACATTGTCTTGCATTTGAGTGGATCCGGATTTGCTCGATGAGACCCAGCAGGTTTGGATGAACTTTGCGACTAAGAGAGTTTTGAGATCTGATCACAACTACTCCCTCACGTCAAAACCAATCCCCAGAAACTAGACAGATATAAACGGCAGTCTTGTCAAACATAACTTGGAAACATCGGATTCAAAAATATGTAATGAATGTATATATGTAATCTATGTATTCTTGGAAAAAGCATGAATAAGGCTATATACCGAATCTCAAACCGAATCAGCGTGTTTTGCATGTGTTTTTGTGAGACCTGGAAATTTACCATTTTTCAATCAAAAATGCTCTCTTATCAAGAATCCGTAAAAAAAACCCACCCCATAAATTACCGTCCCAGATTGCAGACATCCATCTGTATCAGTTCTTTGGGAGCCTTCCAATCAATACCTTCCATTATACGCAACATATTTTTCCAAGAAACTCAGCCCAGTGAAGTTGTCCTAGCATAACACCAAACAAAATTAGCTTTAACCCCCTGGAGAGCGTTGCTCGAAATTGTAGATTCAGCTGCTACGGAACTGCACAAGGGAAATATCAGCCTATTTAGGTCTCATATAATTTCAGATTTCCAATGGATTTATGCAAACAGTTCAAAATATTTTACTGTTAATATTCTTTTTGTCACATGGCTCGAAATATGTACATGTGTCCATTGAAGACACTACAGGTGTACTCACAGACAAATGTCCGCAACCAGAGAAAGTTGAATAATACAGTCATTTCACTCAGGCCGTTTCTAAGGTGTAATGAAGCGCCACAGAATCTGGGATTCCTTTTGCCTCCTTAGTTCATCAAATATTCAGATGTCAGGAAGCATTTGTCTAATGCAACAAGTTAGTAGGCCTGCATTTTTACATTGTTTCATAAAGTGCGAAGGGTTTCACCAATACCCCCATGCAATTTTACCAGATTTTAAACTGTATGGCTTTTTCATTTGAATATCGCCCCACAAAGCTGCTGTACATTGTGTCGATAGAGAAACGCTGGCGTTTTACCACTGCTGGAAACCCATTGTGGTATTGCAGAATTGAGACTTAAAAATGGAAGAGTACTAATGTATGGGACATCGAATGGGTCCGTAAAATAGCGCCCCCCATATTGAGGCTCTGTAAATCGGTTACATACGTTAGTGTTTCAAAAATAGTGCAGATAATATACGGCACTTTTCAAATAAACCAGTAGTTCTCCAGTGAAAAAACGCATCAGTGAATAACTTCTCCTGGAAAGACAGAAGTGTGACCTTTCGGATTCCGCAGTTTCAGCAAAGTGGAAATAATTTCATCTACAGACTCAGCCTTCTTTTTTTATTTTTTGAACTTTTTTCAATTAACTATATGTTCTTTTCCCTGACCATTTGAAATGAAGTCGCATTGGCTTATGACAGTCAGTTCAGCACCGAGTCATAAACCTGCTTGCTCATTTCTTGAAGCTACCGTAATAAGTGACGTACTTGTGAAGCATTCGAGAACTCCAAATATCATTCAGATAGCAGATAAGTATTTTACCATGTTCCGGAACGGATGATCAATGAGCCATTTTCATCATATGTATATGTACATATGTATACATGTTTACATAGCTATATTAGCTATATTTACTATGAGACGTATGATCACTCAGGCGCGCATGATTTTGCGGCTGTATGAAATTTGCTTGCCTTTTGCAGTGGCAGCACTTTAAAGACTCCTGGTTTCGTTCACTTATAATGCTTGATGCATGGACAGCAACATAAATCAATTCTGTTGAACCCGAAAATTATCATCAGGAAAAATGCTTACCTTGATGATTGGACAGCGTTTATCGGGATGTTCTGGACCAGAATAAGTGCGCAACTTGAGTTGTACATTCAACTCCGGTGGTTCAAAATTACTTTCGGTGGATCCCCTTATGTCGCACAGACCGAAGCCACTATGGTCAGGCAGGCAAGATGGCAGGTTGTATTGCTCCCAGCCGCAAAATGGTGCAATTGATTTACCTCTGCATTTGGAATAGTATAAATATTCAGGCGAGTATTGGATTGACCCAAGTACAGAAATGTATTACTAATATACGCACTAATCAGGAAACCTCGCAGGCCAAATCTGTCGTGATAGTGTACCTCAGAGTGCAAAAAATGCGATAAGTCGGAGGCCAAATAATTTTGCTTATAATGTTGACCTTTATACAGTGTTTACAGATGGGCTACAAATATCGCCAAATTGAGCAAGCATTCAGGAATTAATCATACTGTATTACGAGATGCGCCTTCTTGAACACGAATGTTAAGCGATAAGATTGGCTTAGGGAATTCGGTATTCAAAAGGTTTCGAAAATTTACCAATGTCCGGAATGGTCTGCGTATCCACGATGCGACGAACCAACTGAATTCTCATACGACCAACACACACCAATACACAACGGCCGATATCACTTTTGCCTTGTCTGTTTTTACCTAGATCCGGCCACCTAATCGCCTTGTTAACCAGGAGTATCTATTGTTTTAACCTATATTTAGATTGCTTTATCGCCGTGATGATATAACGTGCACATCAGTGTATGTGTCTACTGCTGGGAACGTTATTGACAAATTGGAGCAACTGCACTTCAGCTGCAAGTATTTTCATCAACGAGATTGCTGGCCGTCCTAAGTACAGTGGTCTGCAGACTTTGATCGCTTTCATCATTCTTCTAAAAAATCGCATAATTGTGTTCTCCCGTAGACCGACCCACATGAAAATCGAGGCAGCCTGTACGCTCGGCATTTACTAATTGGGCATCAAATACCTTGGATTCATTCAATTGTCATTCGAGTCCTCCTCTCACACCAATTAAACGAAAAAATATTTTGTCACAACAATGAGGCTACACTTCGGCATTTAGTACAGCATAGCTGTATAGATAAATGGACTGCGTTACTCACTGATATCTAAACATGACAACAGTGAAAGGGTGCTTGTAGGCTTCATCCTGGTTTGCTGCCATTCTTATCTGGCCAGATAAACATGTGACGCAAAAATCTATTACGAATAATTTCGGGAGCTAAGCGTCTGCGTACGATTTCATCACTGTTGTGACGTTGTAAGGACACCTCAAAATTAGTCATATGTAAGACAGTTGAACAGGGTTATTTAGTTCTTTCCAGATCTGCGCAATGGGCGGGCGCTGTTAATCGCATGCACAATTCATTAAACCCAAGATGACCAAGACGAAGTAGCAAACGCCAATTTGCAGTAAGGACCGGGATTTAACACATCATCTATGGTGGAAAATTACAACTTTAAAGATTGTGAAATGGTGTATAGTAAACGAGACCCCACCTAAGCCTCCCACTACAGGATCATGTAACCAAATAAAAATAATCGGCATTCTACAAGGGGTAAACAAACTTTACAGACCATAAGACATTTTGATGTCTTCAACTTGACCCGTTTCAGCAGGACCCTACACCGGATACAGGGAGATGCACTGAAGGTATACAATGCTAAACCCTTATGAAATCTTGAGTCATTTTTGCATTTGGATGTCGTGTGTAATCGGAATTAAGTATCTGAAATTTTGTTCATTGAGGGAGAAGTCAGACCCGAATGATAAAATTCATTCTTCGAGAAATTTCATTGGCACAATTGTGTTGTTTACGACAGCTAGTGGGCTAATTTTTAGGAACGATTTATGGCATAACGAAATAATTGTATCCGTCTTCCAAGTAATGGGTTGAAAACAACGTTTTCCCAAGTCACCGCTTGTTACGAGAGCTAGCTGGCTACAGGTTTAAGCTGGTAGCCTGGTCTATACCCTTGAAATGAGTATAAACTTGGAATTAACGGTGAAAGATTCTTTACGTTGAGGATTTTTTGATTTCAAGGCGTGATTGTACAAGTTTCGTTACTTAACTGGGCTTCCCGTCAATTTAATTTCAAATGCACTCATCACTCCATCGAATACAGATAATGTTCCAGCAAATGTGGCTACAATCTAATGAAATAAACGAAATCCTCTAGTACGTAGGCAGTAAGAGACAAAGAGTGACGGTAAATTGTTTCCATCGGGCATATTTCAAACAGCCTTGCGGTAGTCACAAAACCAGATTGAACAATTTAGCTCGCTTGACAGATATGAATATTAACGTAAAGATGGGGGCTTCTAATCATGTACCGTACTCGACGGCACCTTTTACCAACCACATTTGGCTGGAAGCTTACCAAAAATTCAAATTGTCTTTCACTGTCAGAAGCACTAATTTAAATAGTTGACTCATGTGTAGCTCATTAAACGTCCGGATCATGCTATCACTAATGTGATACTAACAAACTCGGCGTTTCTCAAATATAAACTTCAATTTTGTGAGCTGATTTGGCACTTGAATGCACTTCAGTTCCCTTCAGGAACTTCAAAAAACATAAATTACATCTGATTGCGAAATCCGTGGATTGAACTGTGTAGAATATAGACAGATCTTGAACTATGTATGTGCCAGCCAAGCTCAAAGGAAGTAAACGACCACCCTATGGATTTAGTCATCGCATCCAACTCTTAGCTGGAGTTCTGGATCTTTGTTTCTTCCTCGCTCAACTAAAACTTATATGGTCCAAAAACAGTCCAGTACCTGTGAATTGCCAGTTTTAGAATTCAACGCGTGACGTTTATTCTGGACCGTTCATATTTTTCACCACCATTACAATCCTTAGGTGCGGAATCAAATGACACATTGTCAATGTATAATTTACCAAATTGAGCGGGCCACTATGATTTTGCCGGACTCAAAAGTAATGCAACTAACACTCCGAGGTTAGCAGATCTGAAAAAGACGTTTGACGATTCAACCCTTGTTGTTGATCTTAGCATGCATTCCCTCGATTTTAGGAATAGGCTGGCAAAAACAGCTATGAGCGGTTTCCTCTAGATTATCAGTTTCTTCTGGCTAATTGTAGATCCCATTTACCTGCAAAATCATTCTTTTTTGATAAACTCAAGATGAAACCAATTTAATCTCGTCTAAAATGCAATTATGACTAATTTAAATCCAAAACTTGTTAACAATACTACTTCTAGAACATTGGTTAAGGATTCAGGTATTTCTTTTACAAGAGCAGGTTTCGATCTTCCAGTTTATTGTTTTAAGCTGACAAGCAGTCTTCCGTCTCTCCTGACATATGAGATACCCCAATATTCTTAAAATTAAATGAAACTTTATAAGTTGTAGAATAAATCTTTCAGCAACATTTTAATTGTTCTCTTGATTCGTAAAATGTGTAGAGAACACGTTCCACCCGCAATATCTTCGAAAGTGGTTTTAAGTGCTGCATCGATATCTGATATATTTCTGCTCAGAATAAAACAGCTTCCACAAACTCACGCCTTTTTTTGGAGCTTCATAAATTCGTCACACGTAGTTGAGAGGAATTCATCGCCGGCAGCGTAACCCCAAGTTATTCTTTCGGCACCTGCTGGACTTACGAGATAACCTAGACCAGCACACCGGGTAAAATGATGGGACTGATGAAACATCGGAAATGTTTGAGCATGAATAGACTTCTGCGAGTTGACTTGTGCAAAAACATCTTTTTTAATTTCTCATGAAATCCAGTTTGCCATCGGACAAGAACTGTTTTACAAAGAAAAAATTATTCCGTTAGAAAACATCGCCAAAACTGCGGAGGGTGCTGCGTCAACCTCGAAATAAAGTGGCGCAATTAGGGGCACGCTGAACAGGAAGCTTGCTGCATAATCAAGGAAACCATTCAGATTTACAGAGTTTATTTCGACTTGGTTTGAAACATTTAAGAACCGTGCAATCTCAAAATGATTCTTAAAACTGGAAATCAGTTCCCCACTTTATTCTCACTCTTGGTCAAAAGCCGATTGTGATAAAACGTAAACCTAATTGTTCAAAGCTAATTGGCAGCTGCTTGCAGTTTGACAAAAACCATGTTGACCTACAAGCATGTTCACAACTAAGAACTGTTAAACTCACTTACGAAACTCCCAAAAGAAAACGCGTTTTAATATGCAAATGTAGGATATCCCTTTCTGAACTGCTGAGAAAAATATTTTAAATGTTTGAGTGGCACAATTGTGCGCGTCAATTGTCTCGCACATACGTGCCTCGAGAGACTCTGAACTTATACTGTGCAAATGGTAAATAAACCATACGAGTATCGAAGCCATTAAGTAAGCAGCTTCATGGATATTTTCTCAGCTTTTGCTTAAACGACACACAAATAATCATTCTGATACCAAAGATATGGCTTACCCTGTATCGTACATAAAGGCAAGCGAAAGCATGGAGATCCGGCTTTTGTCATTCAGTTCAGTGGCCATGATATCATCCTAAATGGGAGAGTATGAGAGAAGATGTTTAGTGGAGTTGCATTCCATTGGACAACATAGACCTTTAGTTGCGAGTCAGCTACGAGGTAAAAAAATACTGCGGACTGTTTAACCCTACACCTATTGAAGTTTAATTGTAAATATTGTTCTCACCACGTCTACCATAGATAAAAATCATGCCTTAACTCGAAGCATCTACTAGGATGTGAGCAAAGGAACATTCGTATCTTTGGGCAGCCCAATGAATTTGCGTTCTTGATTAGGTAGTGAATGAATTCCACACCAGTACTTAAGACTTTGGGAGCAGTCGATCACACTGAAAAGTGATGATAGTCGCGTACAGTAAATAGACTAGTCTAGCTGACACCAGAAAAATAGTCCCATCATCGAATCATGTTGGACGAAAGTGCAGAGAAGTCACACTGAATAGAATTTCCCCCCAACTGCCCACTGTTGGTTAAATATGGTTTCTATGCAGTTGCACCAAATTCCGAAAAATCCTCCTAACACAGCACGTGACTAATTATATTTGAACCTCCTTCATCAAAGCAACTTGCTCTCGCATTTCTGTTGCTACTTACAAAAACCTAATAAAGATGTTGCTTCGGAACATTTTGGCGCCCCATTAAATAGGATGCAACAGAATACTATCTTACTTTAGAATAAGACACCTCTTCAATGAAACAGGTGAATCACTGAATATTAAAATATCACGTTGGTCAGATGACTGATTTTTTCGCGATCTTGGGCCCTTATACCAGGAAAGGGTCATTTTAGTGGTCAGTTTGACAATCCCTATCAAGAGAAAAAGTGTTCAGAAAATGTATATAAATGTATATAAATAGGCTGTTGGAATAGACACCAACAGGAAGACGAAAGTATACATGGCATGAACGAGAATGCACTCTTGTGGACAGGCACAATCGGCGATCTCTTGTTCATCGTATGGGTGTTCTGAGGACTTTCGATCTTTGTCAACCTTAAGTATCCAAACTTTAAGTCTTATACAGGTGATAACCGTCATTACCATAGGTGTGCTCCCTGTGCCAATTCCGTATTGAACCTGACCTTTATATCATCTGGATACCAAAAAGAAAACTGGGTATTTGCTGAAAATCCAAAGTAGTAGTGTATCATCTCTTACTGTGATCGGAAAACGCGGGCCGAACAGAAGGAGGATATAAGATGCATAAATGCGACATAGTCATGGCTTCTAGGACGGATCTTTTTGAGGAACGCCTATATGCTTGCCGATTAAATTGATCTACATTTGCTGGTCGTGGGCTTTCCAGGATGAAAAAGACGATGACCGTTTGTATGTCACACCGTCCCGGCGCCTAGCTACCATGCTACCTGAATCGGGCCTAAAGGCTGAGATACTGTTGGGTGTTCTAGACCTGCACAGGGCTAGTCAAGATGCTGGGGCTGGGTTCGAACCACGGTCCGTAAGCCATAGTCATGACCAATGAACTATCTTGAGCTCCGAATGAAAGAGGTAGACGAATATTCCCAGCTAAGCAAATTACAGTATTTCGGTGCTCTGAAGAACCTAATAAACGTGTCAAACTGGGTATCTTAGAAACTCAGAGAAAAGCAGAACGTTGCGTAGAAGATAAACAAACAGGATTTCGAGGGCCTGCAAAAGGTGGTAGTGCATAGAATTTCAGGATTTTGCCTTTTCTGTTACATTGCCTGACGCATAATCTCATGACCTCTGACTTGTAGATATCGGTTTTAAAACTATCTAACTTTGGCTTCCTTTGCTTCCATTCACGGATAAACTGAACCTCGTCAGCTGCCTATGTCGTTTTTTTACGACAAAGTATAGGTCGCTGACGCTAGTCAATGGTTGTAGACAACTGCGATTTCACTTGGATCAATTTAAATATTGGTGATATGGTTCTCTGAGGAGCGGATGCTACTCTTGCATATCAGCTGATGTACTGTTCCATATTGACCTTGTGTATCACTGCGGGCAGTTCAGAGTATTTTCGTCTTATCTCACATTAGAGTGTGTAAGCAAGCACGCACACCATGGGTTCCGCTGACATCAGACTGCCCACGGTTGTACCAGACTTTACGTAAAGCATACAAGACCACATTAACTATCATAGACTTTTCCGTTCGTATGAGCTAAACAGGATGACCACTACGTTAATTTCAATGGTACTCCTCTTTCCAGACAAACATTTCTCGTCACCGTGCGAAGTATGAATCCATTCCAAAGCTGAGGCGTCTGCATACAAAAAGTAAAGGGAATCCTCATGATGGGATACTTCGGACATTCAAAAATATACTTGAGTGTACTCACCTGTCATTCAACAAACGCGTATTCACGGAGACACGTTTTCAAAAATTAACTAATGAAAATGCTTGCAAGTATGTCTGTGCAATGTGCATGAGTCCCTCGATAAGCCCGATTGACCTGGGGATTTGTCTTCTAATCTTCTATCAAATCCAAAATACGTGCAAGCTTCATCAGTCTACAATAATAATTCACTTAAATGCAACCCTTTTAATACACCAGCGCTTTGTATTATTCTCTCTTAGATCATACCTAGTGGTATCACAGTTGACATACATCTATTGAGAATGCGGCTTCTGGTGAATCGAATAGCCTAAAGTGGTAGTTTTTCTTATGAAATATTCACATATTACCCAACCGCACTTCGGCAACATAAAATAAAAAATCCTGTTTGCCTATCCCTATGATTTCAGTACTGCGCCGAGGGGTTTAATACGCAGATCATTTGAAACAGATAAAGATCCTTTCACTGATGACAGGGCAGTTAGCAATCAACGATCCTTCAGGCCTTCATCTGAATATGATTGCCCCTGAAAGGTTCGATTAACGGTGAGCATTTTCAGTGAAAATTAAACGCACTGCACACTTAATTTTACCTAACAACGGGTAGTGAATTTTAGCGTTAACTAACTTGCGTAATACTCGGATCAAATCGAATTTGAAATGGCTTCGAAATACTTGCTGCTTCCACTCGAAGACCAACTGCATTTGGGGCCTTGAATACATGCTTCACAACTTCCTGAAAGAGAGATATTGTGACAGTTATTCGAAAAATAGTGGTTTTCCGTTCGCCCCAGCAACTATTAGGTGCTGTGTGATAAGAACGCTTATCCAGACCCTATAATATAATGTCTATGTTTTTGAATTTTGATTCTACATGGTTCACGAACGCCACATTATGAGATTTTGGTGACAGCGCATAAAAGGGTGGGAGTTTTCCTTTATCGGGTTTATTGTAACAAGTTTATTACGAGCGTCTGACAGCTACTACATATTTGCTTTACAGGCTGAAAGAACGACAATGTTATAAGAAAATCGTTATTGTCAGTTAAAAACGACTGAAAGGAAATTTGACTAAACCCATCGTATGTTGGTTCGCCCTATCTCATTTGTAAATGCAATGCGTCCGATCCATATTACAAACGCTACAAAATTCTTGTATGTATTTAATATGCTAGACTGCCCATTGAGTCAATATCAAGTAATAACGGATTAGTTCGTGAAACGGGATATTCTATGGAAGCCGACAACTGCTTAATGCGGCGGCCGAATATAAATGGACCTTGGATGGTTATAATGAAGTGATTTTCCTACACACTTCTGAGGATTGTTCCTCCGGCTTTCCGCAATAGTCCTCTCATTCAAGATACAGCACTCCAAAGCGTTCTTGAGAAAAGCTTGTTACAACAACTTTAGCACGAAAAATGCCCTTAAACGGACGACTCGCACTTAGGCTGGTTATAGCGGCGCTCATTCCTCAATGACGGGGTCCACATCAGGCGTCCCCCGTTTTGACTGGCTCCCTCGAGCAACGACTTCTCAAATATAAGTTTCACTCATCGGGTGAAGTCTATTCTTCCACTGTGCTATTACTATATGTTGTTGATAGTGTGAGGAGATTTGGAATTTTTGTGAAGATTTCGTCCTGTAAGTGAACCCAGTATATGCTGAAAAGCCGAGAAGCACCGTTTCATCCTCATTGGGAATCATCAGCAGTGCGCATCCCACGAAACTCCGAAGAGTCTCGAACCCGCGACCCCTTGGCTAGTTGTTTGACTAAGGGGGTGAAAAATAGTCAGTCCAGGCTTTACACTTCACTGCTTTTTACCTGCACAGGTTATTTAATCCTGTTGACATTTTATGATCTCTCTCTTCAGATCCAATAGGTAAATCAGCGCTAATTTTATGTATTTTAATGCAACTTGAAGTGTGGTGGAGTTTTTCAACTACACTATAAACAGCAAAATACTGCTTTTACAGATGGTGTGTTGAGTAATCAATTAATATTCCCATGGAAGGTGACTTGAAATGGACTACAAGTATTGGCCAATAGCTAATGAATATCGGTACTTTCAGCCGGTTTCTAAATACGCCGTCACTCACAAATGCCTTTAGGTTTTGGCCTATAACAAATTAACTCAATTTTCAACTCACTTTCACAGTAGGCAGCGTAATTATTCCCTTGGTTTTCAAAGGCAAGTCAGCCGGTAAGTCTGGATTCAAAGCTTGCATAATAAAGGATTCGGGACTGAAAAACAATGGTTTGACCATTGTAGACGTAAATAAGTATCCGTCTCACCGATTAGCGAGATATATTAATAGGTCTGCTCCATAATATATTTTTGTCTATGTAGTCATCAAAGCATGAATCTGAATGGATGCTGTATTCAAAACCACCGAGTAATTATAAGATGATATATGATATAATATCATTGTCGTTCAACTCCATGCAAATCCAAAGTGGCATCGTCAATGAAATGGCCTAATATTCACAAACGGACAATAAAGGCTTTTGCGAATGATAGGATCTAGTGTGATATTCCACTATCATTGTACTCAGTTTTTTGGTGATTTTTTGACAAGTGCATTTTGCGAACCAGTTCTTTGGAAGGTTTCGAAATCGGTGTCTCCGCAAGGTTCTTCCCTTGAGATCCGTTTCTTCAATGTTACCTCGAACCTACCAACCGAAGCGCTTTTATTCGATCGATCTGTGTTATCACTGTAAATTTGGACAAACTCTGGTAACTCTATGAGTTAAAGTTATCTGGAGCAGTTGTCTGAATTTGGTAACTCATATATCGCACATATATACAGACAGTGCAAAAAACAATTATGCAAGCTGGTGCCATGGTTAACAATTAAAGACGCGCAATAACCGTCAATTCGTCATCATGGTGCTTGCAAGTAATAACGCAAGTAATAATGTGACAACTTTAAAAGTAAGGTGGCTGGTATCTGAAACAACTTTGACTAATCAGTTTAGGAGAATGCAATCTGTGTCCCTGCTCGCCGTACTTATGGTTCCGTTCTTTGGTAGTTGTCCGTCTTTTATCGACTTGATTTCTCTTTTCACATAGAAACCGCTGCTATATTTTTGAAACTTGCGACTAGATTTGTTCACCAACTTGTGCACAACAAGCAAAGAAGCTTGTTTTGCAGCGTCTGGAGGCCTTGGTTGTGAGTAAATCGATATTCCCAGTTTGCTAGAATGTTGCTGAGTTAGAGTTCATGTGGGTCTGTTTGCTCCACACAAGCTAGCGTCTAAAATATTTCAATCACAATCATGACATCTGTGATGGTATCTAACATTTCTGACATTCTCATAAAATTAACGTCACCCCGTTCTTTCTTTGATTCCTCTGTATGCCTAAAGGTTTTTCTATCCACAACCACTGCATTTGAGTCTGCGTAGGGCTTTGTTACCTACCGACCCCTGTAGTAGAGGATTGGAAACTTCACTGTTAATTTTGGGTTTACAGCTCTCTCATATCCACTGTGTATGAATTTTCACTTTGAATGTGACAGGTAGTACAATGCGCAATAAATTAGGATTTGTACTGCGATCAGCTGCAAGCAACGCTTTTGTAAAAATTGAACTACAAGAATGCTTCTGGCGCAAACCAAATGAGCAATTAGATTTCCATTTCTACTCTTTGAACTTGTCCAAGTGACAAGATTTCTACCCCACATTGTGTTTGCTATTTGGAGTTCTGGTGTTGCAAGTGTCCTCAATAGCTTTTCGCCCTTTTTTCCTCTTTGGTCCATCTCTAAACGGATTCACAGTATTTTGGCAAGTTTTTCACTCCTTGGAGTCATTGGTGAGTTGGTTACAGGTGTGGATGTAATCAGATCTGACAGTCAATTGTAGAATTCGTTCTTGTGCCAATATGGCGTTACGCTCACCGCTTAATTGAAAAAACCCTGCCTTTATTAGCTGGATTTGCTTACCATCCGTTGGTATACTCAGAATTTTTCATCCATTATCTCCTGAATAATATGGTTTGCAACTGTGATTCATGTATCGTGTATACTCAGAGCTCCCCATAATATATATCAAGTGAACCGCCCTAAGAAGACGATCCTGACTCATAAACGTGCACATACACACACACACACCATACATAAGCAATTTCTAGTACTCCTACGTACACACGTGTGCATATAAATGTGCACACATATACTCATATACGTACAAAAGCTTATGAAAGTGCGGTATTCGAATTGAATTCTTTCGTCAACTGAGATTCGACCACTTGTGACAAGCGCCTGGTTTGGTAACACTGAACACGTTTGTGCAGGGTCAAACTTAATGCCGCAAGCAAGACACTGAGGTCGATGAAAGGCACAGGAAATAAACGGACATGTAGAGATTTTTTGCATGACATAATTTCCTTATTACGGTGGCATGGCAATCAACATTGTCGCCGAATTGAACTGACTTAGATTTCATCGAACCTACTTGCTATTCGGTGCTAGTTCGCATAATTTAGACAAGAGCGCTATCTGAACACCACGATAGCTTTGCTCTGAACATCCTCTGTCTTAGTGGGCTTAGCATCGCTTTTTTGCTACCCTCAATGACTTGATTAGTGAGATATTCGAACCAAGCTTATAATTCCAAAGTGATTTTGAACTTTAGCCGCTAACAGTCTTGAAAGTCGCACCTAACGCCAATCGAGTCTCCAGTTGTTTTAACCAACTTCATAGTTTTTAAGCAGGCGGAAAATTTTGCTTGGAGATAAGCTGCTATTCGCAAAGTTCTAATGATGGGCCAGTGTTCAAAATATCCCATTAAAAGGAAAATATCTACTTATTCAAACACGTAAAGCGCAAGGGGCGCATTAAAATAAGCTTGCTCTCCAAATGACACCGTTGACACCCCTATAGTGGTCGACAGCGGAAATATGCTTGCCAGCATAAAGGCACAATTCTACAACTATTCGACTCATTTCAGAATACATACGAAATTCAAGTAATGAAACCTTGAATTCAGCAACTTAAAATGACTCACTTTTCTTCGGACATTGTTGCCTGCAGGTTACTCTTTGGTATTCTTCTCGTTCGAGGAGCTCCATTTTGATCACGAAAGAACCTAAAGGTTTGCAACTGTGATTCATGTATCGTGTATACTCAGAGCTCCCCATAATATATATCAAGTGAACCGCCCTAAGAAGACGATCCTGACTCATAAACGTGCACATACACACACACACACCATACATAAGCAATTTCTAGTACTCCTACGTACACACGTGTGCATATAAATGTGCACACATATACTCATATACGTACAAAAGCTTATGAAAGTGCGGTATTCGAATTGAATTCTTTCGTCAACTGAGATTCGACCACTTGTGACAAGCGCCTGGTTTGGTAACACTGAACACGTTTGTGCAGGGTCAAACTTAATGCCGCAAGCAAGACACTGAGGTCGATGAAAGGCACAGGAAATAAACGGACATGTAGAGATTTTTTGCATGACATAATTTCCTTATTACGGTGGCATGGCAATCAACATTGTCGCCGAATTGAACTGACTTAGATTTCATCGAACCTACTTGCTATTCGGTGCTAGTTCGCATAATTTAGACAAGAGCGCTATCTGAACACCACGATAGCTTTGCTCTGAACATCCTCTGTCTTAGTGGGCTTAGCATCGCTTTTTTGCTACCCTCAATGACTTGATTAGTGAGATATTCGAACCAAGCTTATAATTCCAAAGTGATTTTGAACTTTAGCCGCTAACAGTCTTGAAAGTCGCACCTAACGCCAATCGAGTCTCCAGTTGTTTTAACCAACTTCATAGTTTTTAAGCAGGCGGAAAATTTTGCTTGGAGATAAGCTGCTATTCGCAAAGTTCTAATGATGGGCCAGTGTTCAAAATATCCCATTAAAAGGAAAATATCTACTTATTCAAACACGTAAAGCGCAAGGGGCGCATTAAAATAAGCTTGCTCTCCAAATGACACCGTTGACACCCCTATAGTGGTCGACAGCGGAAATATGCTTGCCAGCATAAAGGCACAATTCTACAACTATTCGACTCATTTCAGAATACATACGAAATTCAAGTAATGAAACCTTGAATTCAGCAACTTAAAATGACTCACTTTTCTTCGGACATTGTTGCCTGCAGGTTACTCTTTGGTATTCTTCTCGTTCGAGGAGCTCCATTTTGATCACGAAAGAACCTAAATCGTTCCGATTCGATTCCCTTGAAAAAAATATAATTGATTTGGTTCGCACAGTCGGCAGCCAGTTCAGTTTTGTCCCGCTAGATTATAGCGGTACATGTCAAGCAATCTTACACCCAAACATTTTCGACAATCATGCTTCCATGAGGACCGTAAATGCAGATTACACCGAAATTCCAGCAAAAATGCCCATCTGGTACAAGATCCTTTTGGTCACAGAAACGTCGCTCCATTTTCGCCGCACACAATTTTCAATGAAGTTTTCATCTAAAAACTGCATCCTAGAGAAGCTAGTCAACAGATAAGACCTGGTGATATAGATTAACCGACTGCAGTGTAATGAACGCAAGTTAATCAGCCGCTTACGGTCAGACGATTAGGTGTTTTCACCAATAGCCTGGACTATGCGGGTTTGAAATCCTCCGTGGTTCATAAAACGCACATTTCCCACGATTTTCAATTAGGGTAAATTGGCTGTACGGTACTCTGAAGCTTTGCCGAGGACGCGGAGTTCATCCACCCGAGGAAATGCGATTGGAAATCCCAAAATAAATTCAAATTACCAGAAATTTGCGGCGCTATTCTGTTTATATTTTCCGTAGGGCCTACGGTATCTTGTGCCCATAGCCAGCGGGTTCAGTGTGACATATGTTCTTCTCCCTTGAAATATCATGATGAGTCTTCCAAATTCTAGTTAAACCGTGCACTTCATTTTTTTATTCTTTGGTTTTTCTGCAACCATAGAACTTTTGTTGCCTTGTGCACATTCGCAAATATTCCAATGAAGTCAAACGTTTGTGCGGTATGACCACATCGCCCTAGACAGTTTCTAAGAAACGAACACTCAGAAAGCTGTTTTATTACCTATGGTGTCACAGAGTAAAGCCAATATTTAACTAAGTCTTCAGTTGGTGAAAGGTGGAACTCATGTTACCTTCATGCGATCCATTCAAATGAAAAGTGCCATGATATCACTTTCGATTATATACAGAAATGCTATTCACTTGACTTCCTTGATATGATGACCAGATATAAAGCAATGCAATCAAATTTCAAAGTAAATGTTTGCTTCTTTGCTGTAGGCAACAGACCTCTTCAACTGACAAGCATGAAATCTATGCTCAGTGCACTATCAACGGCATTTAAGCCAACACATGATCCAAGAAGTTGAAAGTGATTGCCAAAACCAAATTTTAAGATAACGCCGTTGTTCATTTGTATTTGCCTAAAGGACGCTAGTCGATTCACAAGGTTTTTTCACCTAGCTAGCGAAACGCTTTATTGTTGTTTTACTACAAATCAACGCCGGAAACAGATATCTTGCCCCAAATATCGCCATAGTCGTGCAAGAAATTTAGACGGATTCACGTACCAACAGGTGGCCCAAATCACGAACAAGGATATTCGTTGTTATTTCGACTGCAGTGGACATTATTCTAGGGCAGACGGCGATAACTCCTGCAACAGGTCTGCAATGAATACGAAAAAAGTATGCAAATGTAAGATTTGGAGCTGATTTTCGGCTTGGTAATATAAGTTACTTGCAGATCCTACGCTAATAAACTAGAAACCTAAAACTTAAATAACTAATTCAAAATAGCGTAGAACTGTATTTACCAAACAAAAAGGACAGTTTTACGTTTCGAATATCCCATGGTGTTGTAACATGCCGCGTCACATGGGTTGTAGCCAAAACTTACTTGAAGTAATTTCTAACAGACGACTGCGGTCCTAACTATTGTATACAATGTCGGAAATCTAGCCCTGGTATGAGGTTCATAAATATATGGTGGCTGAAACAGCCCACCCACATATGGTGTCTCCTCTAACAAGCCACTTGAACTCAAAAGTCCAGATGCCGTTTTTTTTCAAACGCAACCGAAATATGATTCTATGGAAAGGTTAAACAAAAACGAGTGATTAAATAGTCGCCTTCGTGCAGAGCATGTGAGAACTGCGAAACAAATAACAGAGACTCTGGCGCTTTGATTCTTAATAAGGTAAATGCACTACTGGTGACACTGTAAGGCGAATTATCGTGTGCAAGAATCTAACAGTCTAACAATGTCTTGTTTTGTGGCACAGATTTGTGACACTGGCTTTGTGAAATTGATAACAGTTTATTGTTAGCAACCATTGTGCTTACAGTTTAGTTTGTAGTGCATTAATCCAGATGAGTAAAGCTTGATTGGAAAATTTTTTCTTGAAATACCTTTCTTAGGTTCAACTGAGTCAATTATATGCAGGAAACGTTAACAGAATTTTTTAAATAGTAAAAATACAATCAAACTATATGTGATGACCACCAGGGGTTGTAGCGTCGCGTGATCTAATGAAACTCCAAGCTAGACATTAAATATCATGCATTTCGGTGGTTCCAAAAACGTGGATATTGCGCACAACCGCTTATTCGACTATGATGATTAACCAATTGCTTTGAAAATAAAATCTTGAAACGTCTGATGTCGAACCGAATATGGTCGGTGCAAAATTTACCTGTCGGTTACAAAGTCCGCTGAGCAAGAGTCAGGTTTTGTGAGTATACCAGAGCACTCGTCTTCCGCGAGTACCTCTAAAATGACCAGGAAATCGGCATCCGCCAGACCAGTTCCATCAACGGCTGCCTCGATGTACCCGTCGGCTGTATGAACTTTACAACCCTGTACGTGAAGTTAGAAATTATGGTTAGAATATGGTGTATAGTTTAAATTATCATTTTTAACTAGGATGCATTTCTGATAGGAAGATGATTCGAATAAATGGCAACTCAAGGCTTACGAACGTGACGGAAACATCAGGCGTGGAAAGTCTTACTTAGATGCTAGATGGTTCATGATTGTGTCAAGTACTAAAGCAGGGCATCGGAATTTTTCATTGATCGGTTCGCCTCAGGTGACCCGTCCTTGTTTGGTTGTTTGGAAAAGAATATCTAAGCGCTATAAGATTTGTCTAGAAATGTCCGGCACCTATAATGCAAGCTTTGGGACTCACTAAAAGATTATCGGACCTTATGCCTACTAGTGGAAAATATTAGCTAATAGGAAACCTTCAGTTGCAATGTATAAGAAACATAAAGAGGCCTTTGCAATGGACTGCATGGTAATACTGTCAACGTAAAATTCATATCCTGTTAAAGTTTACTTTTGCTCTGATTAAATTTCTAAGTATACGGACTCGCCCAGCAAAACTGACTAAAGGACTGGAAGTACTAAAGCAAATTGCAAAGAATATCTCAAACAGTTGCACCGGAGGTTCTGTACTATACTTGAGAGCTTAAGTACAACAGCACACTAGTGTAGATACAAAGAAACTAGCGACACTTGCAAATATTTAGATTTAAAAAATTTCCGCAGGTCTTAGGTCAACTGAATGCGATAAATGACAACATACTTTTAAGTATGTAGATGGGACAAGGTATTGTCCACACTGCAGACTCTGAAGACACACGTTTGCACACATAAGTTGATTATTAATCAGCTCAAACTCTCCGTCACATTTTCTGGAATTAAAAGTGAATGTATGACGTTCATAACGTAATGTAATCAATATATGCTTTTCAAACCTATATTTATCATTTTATCTTGTAGAGAAAATGCTTGATGCCAGAAGACTGAAGTATATTTCCGCTCGAATGGGGCGCACACTTGTTACAAAAGGTAATGTAACTGTATCCTGCAGATACTTTCACTTGTTTCGGACAAATTGAGTGATCGCAAACCTTACAAGAATCCCGTTTACTTAGTCTCTTACTGCATGGTGTGATTAAGGCCTTCAGCGAATGGATAATTAATGTAACAAAAAATTGATAGTGTGTGGGTTGGTAAAACATAGTATGAACTCTTCCTATAGACTTTCCTCTTTCGTCGCTTGTTATTCTGAGTGTCATTCAGTTCTTCGCAACTCTTTCAGTATCGGGCATTTTAAAGCTCAAAGTTAAGGGTTGGAAAACATTTTGGTGTTTGCACGTACACTTCGTGTACTTTCCATGTATTTTTCCTTTACGTTTACTCTGAGATTTTGCCCATAGCTCGACTGTTAGTAAGTACCGACCCAAGCGCTCATGTATTGCTCAGCTCGGCATAAAAGCTTACGTCAGTCTAATGAAACATACTTCGCGCTCGCAACCCCGTATTGTTGAGTCCATGTATAATTCTGGACACCTATAAGGGTAATGTTTTGAGATAATGATAACCGGAAAAATACAAATCCCCTCTCTTGACGAAGGACGAAAAACATCCATTCAGTTTGCCCTAGTAAACATGGAGTTGTTGATATATTGCTCTATGAAATCTAGTAAAATCGGATAATTCATCCTTCACACATTGCACACATTTGGCTCCCTCGGTTTTAAACATCCACCAAGTGACAAAATGTAAGGTATCATTGGATAAGTGGTCTTAAAAGTCCTTTTGGATTTAATAGTCGTTACTAGTAAAGTGGTCTTATCAAACAGTCCAAAAGATTAATGCGCGTACGACCTTACTGTCCCCGGATATCAACGCATACAATATCTGTAACACGTCATTATCAGATTCTTCACATGTCAGTGTCATGGTTTAGTTAAACTAATCACTGCTAAAAGTTCATCTCTATGACAGACGTTTTTTAAGGCTAAATGGAGACTATCAGCCAAGTACACTAATATAAATGTACCTTTTATGTCCAAACACTTGGTTAGTCAAACCCGTACTACATTCGTCCAAAAGTACTGTTTATAAGTTCTCCAGTAGAAAACAGCAACTGGTTAGAACTGATATTTCAGCCTTTTGGTATGAAACAGGATAATATAGATGAACACTCCCGGATGATTATTAAAGAAACTCATGAAACCAATTGGGAGGAAAAATGTGACGAACAAATGTTCTTCTCCATGATCATCTAATATGCCATAACTTTATCTGATATTATAGATCACGCGTCAGCTTGGTGTGGAAGGTGTTTATACACACGCACATTTTTAGAACAGTATATTCAGATAGCTTTCGCAAAATTTCTGCCTGTGGTTTCTGATACCATATAA